CTGTGTAACCTCAGCTAGGTGTTCCTGCTCCTGCAGGAGGATTGGACTAGATGATCTTTTGGGGTCCCTTCCAATCCCTAACGTTCTGTGATTCTGTGATACTCTAAGGTACATAGGTTCCTCACAAGCAGAATACACCATGTTCCCCTCAGGAGTCTCAGGTGTTGGTCAGAACCAGTGCTTCCCACCTTTCTGCAGGAGCTCTCAAACTATGTGATGATTTGCAAATGATGGGCACTGTCATCATGTCAGGTGACTTGGGACAGCAAGGACCTTTTTAGGCCACTCCATTGAACTTTGGTGGCTCTCACATTAAATTAGAACTGTGACAGAGGTTAGGTGGGAGATTAGCAACCATGTGACATTAGGTACAAAGAGTATCTGTGCTGGCCAGGTATTTACACAACAGTTTTCAAGGCCAGGCAGGGAAGGCCTAAGAAGCATGAGCATTTGTAAGAGCTTGGAGAGACAAAAATGAGCCAACAAAACCTTCATCCAAGATGCCAGATTTCAGGCACTCAAGTTTCACTGCAGGTGGAATAAAGGACGACTGAATACCCCTAGATGTGAACAGGAAAATCCTTGGCTTTCCCACTGCAGCCTGACTGTTAGGTTTTCAGACCCACATGGCAATCCAGTGTTACGTACTGCTCCCCAACACCACTTCTGAGAAAATACTCAGTGTATTTCGTGCCATGCTCGTATTACTGTCTTTTTGGATACGATATTATTTGGAATGAAGGAAGGAGAGGAAAAGAAAACAAGTCAATACCAGACACAATTCAACAGCATTGTACCCCAGAAAAGGTGGAACAATCACATATCAAAAGGATCCAGCAGTTCTTTTTGCAGTTCTCTCAATATCCCTAATCCATAGTTTTAATCAATTGTCTGTATATAATTTAAGACATCATTTCACAGAACAATTCCCACTCCACAGTATTTAGGATATTATCAAAAGGAAGCAAATTTTCAAGAAAAACATCAGATTGATTTGCCAATAGGCAATGGTGTAAACTATATTTGTCAGTGACTTGGAAAAAGTTCCAGTTTCATTTTGTAAACTGCTTCTGCATAAGAAGCTATGAGGACTATGTTGTCAAATTCTCTGCTCAAAATTAGCCATGCATCTGAGCTTAGGTCTTCCTGAAGTAAATTCACAGCTTAACGCTTCAAGTTTGCTTGTTTGTCCCATAGGGCTAAGACAGCAGGGGATGTGCATGCCATAAGCAACGAGGTAGCCAAATATCCCACCGGTTAGATATTTCCTTCCAAAGAGCTCTGGCCCAGAAGAACTTTATGTAAGAGGCAGCAGCTGTGCTTACCCAAGGACATTTTAAAAGTCACCAAGATGTTAAGACAGAACCAGCTGTGCTTGTATAACTGTCTGGCATTCCTCTGGGCTGCAGCACAGAGAATGGAGAAAAGAGCATTTGGCCAAATCTGAGGAATCCTATGAGTACAAAGTGTGACTGTGCATGTCATTGAGGGTCCCCTCAACCAAACACAGAAAGGGAGTCTTTCCTGCTAATTACACAAAAGTCGTATTTACCTTTGAGCCATGCAATTCAGAGCATACAAACACTTGGGCCATTATTAACCCGTAACGGTATATGATATCATATGTATCCACCAATCCCTATATGATTTTAACAAGAGCCTCTGAAGAGTCACATTTCATGGCTAATGCCTTGAGACACTTCACTGTCCAGAGTCTTACAGAAAGCCACATCTTTCTTTCCCCATTCACCCTAAATTCTCCTCTTATTAGCCTCAAGTCTTTAAACTACATCCACCAAAGATGGCACCTTATGTGTAAGCTTGCCAGCTCTTTGCATTACTATGGCTGTACCTCATAATGAACCCGTGCTTTTAAAGGCACTGTGAGGAAAGCTGTAGAGAAACAAGAATATAAAATAAACAATGAATAACCCATGTCTAATTGTGCAATGGCATAGCCCAAGCCCCCTCCATCAAAGTTGTAGCAGGACACCTACACAATTCACAGCATTTACTCTCTAGAATCTAAGACCTGGCTACTCGTACTAAGTGCACGTCACTACAAAACAAAACTCACAGCAGAAAAAAAAATATCAGTGTGAACTTTGGGAACTCAGTCATGTCATGCATTAGATTTTTCCATATGCTACAGAAAGTCACTGTCATCTTCCTGTGAGAATTCACCATTTTTGCAAAATATGAAAACACCTGAAAGCACCGTAAATTACTTCTGCCTGCTTATATGGATTAACACATTATTTTCTTTCACAACATCCCAAAGGAATTGAAATGTATTAATATAGGATAATGAAAGCACTAGGTAATTTTACTTTTAATTAAGGTCAGGCTTAGTTAGGTCTCTAGGACTGGATTCAAACACAGCCAAAATAAAAACCCAATACTCAAAAATACAGCTAAAATTCTTTTACCATCCCAATCTTGGCTTTTATAAACAATACACAAACCATTATGTTTGCAAACCACAGCTTACAAATGTAAAGAAGTAAAACCCATAAATTAATATACTGCCTGGAAGAAAGTGAATTGATTCAGAAAGAATAAACCTACAAAATGTTTAACAGATTTCCTTCTCCCTCCCACCTTCTAAAATGAGGAAAAGTCATTATTGTCGGTAAAAAAAAACCTACTTGTTTTTTTTCTGTTTGTTTTCCATTCAAAACTACTCTTCTGACTCTCAAAGCCATCTCTTAATTCACTGAGTGGAGTCACTGCTCCTGTCATCTACCTTTGCTTTGCTTTCATAGCATAAAAGTCAACTGACTTTTTCAAAGTTCACCTTCAAAGTGATTCAGATTTTTCTTCTCTGTCTGCTACTCTAATTACCCATTCCACTCAGCTGGTTTCTGTGTTGCCTCTGTTCCCTTCTCAAAATTTTCGGCAGCTGGAGTTATTACTCTTTCATTTATGCATTACCCAGACTTTTCCCCATCTATGAAACATTGAGATAGGTTTTATTTTTAATTCAACTTCATTCTTTTCTTTATATTAAAAATAAACTATGTTTAAAAACCAAAGTGCACTGAAGTATGTAAATGATTATATATACAAAAAGATAATGCATTCTAATGTGCTGGTCCAATATAGTCACAAGACTATGAAATAATATATTCTGTAGCCTTATTAATACTTTTATGAGAGGAACAGATAACTAAGTCCAGCTAACTTCAGTATGATCCTAAGTGTTCACTATGGCAACAATTCTCTCCCATCAGCACCTCTGTATGTTTATGTTACCATACACTTAAGCCCAGACTCTACACTCTGACATGAAATCTTATTCACTGTAACTGTACAGTCAGCAGCTTCCTGCTTTTACTATTTTTTCTTCAGTGCCTCTGTGCATTCACACAGAAATATTCCTTAGTAACTCAGTAACAGCCATAACACTGCTGTACTACAGCACAGGTAAACTGTCCCAAACTCACCGTGCTGCATCTTCTTCTAGAAGCAGCTTCACAAATTGCCTAGGGATGTGCAGCGACAGGACGCTCTCAGCCATCTGCTCCAAGATTCTCAGGTGGTTTCCATCAGTGGTTGGGAAGCGATACATTCGGCAAATGGCGCCACCAAACACTAAAGAATTAAGATCATGTTACTTAAGCATAGGGTTTGAGTTAAAAGTGTACAAAGTCTCTCCTTTTTTAAAGTAAATGTCTTGGTTTCACTAGTGTGCTGTAACACATTCTGTAAAGATCTGGTTTAACCAGGCATCAGTCTAGCTTTCCCAAGCATGGTCATTCTGCAATGACCATTCTTACAGTATTTGCAGGAAAAGCCTCCAAAGGATTTAAAACACTAGTAAGTAACTTCTGAAATACTGTGGGGTTTCTTTTTATTTTTACATACTGTGCATTTTCCTCTCATGCAATCATTTGCTGGCAAACTAACCTTTCTTCAAAAAAAGTTCTAAAGCAACTGCTTTCCTCTGTCCCTCCCCTCTCATCCCCCAACAATTACTTAGGAATAGACTAGCAAATGGCATGGAAAATTTTATGCTACAGTCAACTTAATGACAAAAGGTTGCTTCTGTTTTTACTATACAAAATAGTGCAGATGATAATATAATATATTCTTGTGTGACCCTCAAAGGGCTGCTCAATCAGCAGCCTGTTCCTATTCAAATGAAACATCTGCTTAAATGCCCTGGGGCCACAGGCAGACGGCAAGAGATTAGCTTTTACTGATGCCTAAAGCTTACTTGTTACAGCCCACAGCAGCTTACCAGATTTCAGTAGTGCATCTTTCCGTAACGAAGCATATTTGGATCTGATTCCTAAAGATTCTGTTAAACTTTCATCCACTGGCAATACCATCTAAACAAAAACAAAGCCCACAAATAGTAAAGAACAGAACCTCAGTAGCAGGGCAATATACAGTGATGACCCTATTACACAGACTTGAAAGGAATATTCAACACAACGCGTGGTTAAAATAAATATTTCAAATATGTTTATGGTGGACAAAAAATACTGCAGGCTGAAATAATGAATCCATTTAAACCCTCCAACCTAAGCATTCCTATTTACTTCTACCGCAAAGTTCAAAATGCTGTAAAAATTTTTATCCAGCCCTTCAACTACTTTACTTTAGTGCAGCTTCAGAGTCCTTAAAGGTATTGCACCAACATGTGGCGGCTGGTCTGGCTGGATACAATGAAATACCAATCCACACTGTGGCTGTGATACACAGATATGTGTGCAATTATCACCGGGATATTCAGAACACAAGGTTTACAAAACTAAACATATGCTTAGGCTGCTGATAAAGCACTATAAATATCTGCTCTCAGACAAATATTTGGGGAATCTGGAAAAAAAATCCAGTATTCAAGTAACCTGTTCAGTTTTATTAAAATCTTTTAAGTTTCCTGTGAAAATTCTGGAAATACCCTGAACATCCCCATTACAGCTTTGCTTAACACCACCTTCCAGTTCTCAATGCAAACTAGAATACTGGAATTGTTATCAATGCACCAAGTGCACCAACGTACAGTAGCAGAAGCCTATTCTAATGAAGGGCATGAGTACTTGAAACTAAAGCTTAATTACTGTAAATTAAAATTCTCCCCACGACTTTTAACCCCAAACACGAGCACCAAGAGCTCTGCAAAATACAAAACCTCTTCATCACCATTAGGCTGCTCTTTAGAGTATTTCAAAATTGTAAAGCACTACTAAATATTAAGATGGACAGGAAAGTTGACAGCAGATGTCAACTTAGCTTATTTCAATGCTGGCAATAAATCTGTGCTTTTCCGAATGCAATGCTAATACTCACCCTTCCATTAATGGTATCAGGTGACTTTGTCACTGGAGGCCTTTGGTCAGTTTTTTCCTCCATTTGCCATCCAATAACTGTAATGTTACCTACACGGTCACTTTCAGCCGACCTGCAACAAACACTCTGCGTTGAGATTTTTTTGGAGGTGGACCTGTTTATCAACAAGGGAACACTTATAAAAGGCTATTAATCTTCAAACTTAATGAGCATTTTAAATAGGAAGCTTTTCAACTTCATTTTACATATTTTTATAACACGTTATTCCAACAGGGAATGCTGCACAGACCTCCTAATTGAAGGCAACCTAAAACCATGCATGTGTTTCAATACTGCTGTAAAACCAAAAAGAGTTCAGATTTTACAATTAGCCTGTTGTAGGCAAAAGGAGCTTAAATTGTGAACGCTAACAGGGAGCAGATAATTGGATGTACATGCACACTTGTGTGTATGCCTGTGCATGTGAATGTCTGAAACCAAACTTCTTAACTCTCAGTCAGAAGCCTGCTAATTGCTGGCTGCAACTTCTCCAGTTGCAACTGGTAGATTTTGATAATACGTGGACTAAACAGAAGCAGCACATCCCAAATTTTCCACTTAATAGAGAAGTCTGTTGAGGCCACCAGTTAGGAGGCTGATCACATCTTATGCTCCTGCAGATAAGACTATTTAGATTGGGTGTCCTGGTTTTACTGTGACTAAGATGCAGAAAACCGGGGGCCTGACATTCCAGAAAGAAAAGCTGATGCTAAAAAGAAGGACTGTGAAAAGAAGTGGTCTAGGAAAGAAGATGGTGAAGATTCTCAATGGAGGAAAGATCCCTGAGGTGGAGGAAGATCCTGGAAATCACAGATTTAATAAAGTCCACTTTCAACTTAGTCATGAAACAATAACACAACAATGAAAATCCTGCTATCGCATTCTTCCTCTTTTTCATCTCCCTCAAAACACCTTCATCTCCACACCTATTATAAATTAGACTATTTTACCCACCATCATTGTCATACTTTTGATGTCTTTTCTGGCTCATTTTCCCTCATCTGCTCGTTAAATCATGTCAATTTTGTCTTTACACCACATTGTGGAAAAGCCAAAAGCTTCACTCATTTCTTCTCTTAGCAGGGAAATTTTTGCCCATGTTTTGTTAGTTGTGTCTGGGCTAAGAAATTTCTGCAAGTTTATCACAGTCACTGCTTCTAGCACTGATTATGCCGATACCACCAACACCATCATCCGCAGACTCTCTGATTATGCTCACCCCCTTCAACCGACTTCCCCTTGCCTTCTCTGATGAGGATGCATGCCCTATATTCTGCACACACTACTACAATGTGCATTTACACATCAGAGCTCTCTTTTCTTAATCTCACTTTGGTTTTTTTTCATTCTTCCTCAACCCTGCACTTCACTTCATCCCACACTGGCTTTCACGACTGTGGTTTGATTCCTACAATTAGAACTACTACCTTAAGTACAAGTATTAAACTCACACCTTCTTTTTCATTCCTCCCGAGTCACATTCCTTCCATGAAAGTTTCCAATATGAAATAAACTAGAAAATTACATCAATCAATGTTGCTGTAATGTGCCTCCTCCTATTCCTAGTGCATTATATTGATAAATATTTAGGAATATTTATTACTAATTTTTTATTTATTTTATTTCAATAAACATATTTATTTATTATAATAATTATAATGGTCTATTATTAGAATAGTTAAATATTTTAATGAAATAAAAATATTTTATTCCTGTTACTATGACAAATATTAGGAATCAACTATTTAGGAACAAATACATAATTTAGCAACAGGCAGGTGTTGAAATATTAAATAGAGCCTAGATTTACCTAAGCCAATGTATCCCGAACAGGTAAGATAACCGTTTGTTTTGATGGGCCTCATTCTCTCCATTGTAGGTTCTTTATACATCAGCACAGTTAAAAATACTCTATTTTACCACTCTCCACAGACACATACTGAGGTGACAGGATGAAATGAACACAAATAAAATTGGTCTGACAATACTTTATTGACTTGCCTAGAACCAACGTCTAACATTGTTCACCATGGTCTTGTTCTACATGTTTTAATTCTCATGTAATATAGAATAGCTTTTCCTTAATAGTGGCCTAGAACTTAACAAACAAAGAAAAGGCTTTAATCGCATCTTAAGCATGCTTTCAAGAATTAAGACTGTTAATTCCTAAACGGAGGAAACATTACAAACCTTAGTGTTATGTGCAACCTGTGATGCTTTTCCTGAAGAAGTTCTTTTACAGTGAACATCCCAGAACCCAACAAATACATCTGGAAGAAGATGAGGACTGGAATTGTAATTATTTACCTTTACAATGCACAAGGCTTTGTCCACAGCACCAAAGCCCAAAATACAATCATTATGCACAAAAGTCTGACAACAAAAATATAATTATACATGTCCCAGCATAACTAATTAAACCCCTTTAAAATTTAATTAATTTGGTAATTTATCAAAATTCCTTTTTCTACTGGAGGACAATAAGCCCTTCTCTTTCTCTAGAAGTTGAGGGGAGGCACCTCAATGTATACAAGCTTAGGCCCAGCAATACAGGAACACTGAAAGCAACGACTGAATGGGACTCAGACTAAGTTGATGCTTCATAGTCTCTCCGTCACCCAAACTTGACTCCCTCTGAAGAATGCAACTCCTCAGGAGGCATTTCCTTTTTCACCAGAGCCTACCTCTGATGCCCTCTACAGAGATGCTCTGCTACCCCTGAGGAAGTCATGGGAAAGCAGGCATGTGAGACTTAATAGCATCTGGGCAACAGGCCAGAGTGAGTTGCCCAGAGATCCAAGTAGCTACGTAGAAGAGCTGGCACTTAAGAATTTTTTCAGTAAGGGAATAAATCTTACACCTGAACTAAATCACTAAGAGATCAGACCAGGGGGGTTTCAGAGAGCAATGCAAAAAAAATATCTGGGCAAAACAGCCCAAGGAGTCTGTGTGACAGGAGGCCAAGTGTATGGATGCTCTTCTGAAAGCAACCTCCTACTCAGAAACAATGTCCTGTTTTGTAAAAACACTCACAAAATTTTGGCACTGTAGAATTCCAGATGCTGGCAGTAATAAGTGTCTTTGAGACAAAAAATAACCATTTTTCATTATGAATTAGAAAGCATTCCAAAATAGTTAAGCTTCCTCTGATGTTTTTCACCTTGAATTTGAACTCATGTCCCCTTCTGAGAAAAAGGTTGCTACCCCCTTTCTTCCACAAAATTACTAGTTTTATCTCCTTGTCTCTCATTTTCCTGCTCCACACTGACTGGGGAGGCAACAAAATAAAGAAAACTTACTGTTCCCTGAGATCTGTCTTTGACGTCATACACGGAGAGTTTGATTTGTGTCATTTGATTGATAAGAGAGTCTTGGAAAAAGGCAATGCTGCTTAGAAAGATAGGATTATTTGTTCCCTGTAATCATAAATGAAAAAGGCAAAAATTAATGGTGATGTCTGTTAGGAAGAAATGTTTCTTGTGTGAGCTTCAATTTTCAGTCTAATCCAGGAGTACCTCACCACTTACCTCAATAATTTCTGTCTGTGCATGCTTCGTCCAGAACGCCTGAGGAGGTGTAGTTACACTCACTGCTACAAAACTATTTGGTTTTCGATCTAGCGATGGAGTTAGCAGCTCACTGCAAGCTTTAGGTATGGAACAGATTAAAAAAGCAATAGATTCAGGATTTTTTCATATTGCTATAAGACTCTACATTTTTATAAAAGCGTATTATATACTCTGAGCAATAAATCCATGAAGGGCCTAACATTCATTCTACCGCCACACTTCAAAGGCAGACATCACTCACCTTTGTGCATGCAAACAGTAAAGATGCAATCGGATCACGGTGGCTCAAAGCAGCAGAGTTGTTATTTAAACTTGTTCTCTTCTAACACCTGCCTATCCACCCCCTGGCACAGCTCGTCAGAACAGGATCCATGCATAGGTTTTCCTCTGGGAATCCCACGAGCACGGCTGCATTTGATTTGAAGTCACGCTCCATTAAGCCCATTACCAAATGGCATTTTGGCATGGAGAACCAATAGAAGTGCTTCAACACTGATCAAGCAGCACTACTAAGAGAACTAGCTTGGGATTGTAAAAGGACAGTAATTTATTTCCTCTAAAATGTTACTGTGAGCTTAACTGCTGGGAAGGGACCATGGGGGAGTAGGAAGCAATTACACAAAATTTCAGTGAGTGACTCTACACAATTAAGTTAAACTCAAGAGCCAGATTCTAGCTAGCTAGATACAGGTAACTACAGCGTGGTCCAACTCTGCTTCAGCTAGAGGCACAAAGTTAATTCTGAAATTTACCTGAGCAAGCAAAATGTTCAATGTATGCTAAAAAGCTTTGCAGTTCTAGACATTTTTAATTTATCTAAAAATAACGAAAGTACATTATTCAGCTCTAAGGAGTCCTTAAGATCATTATTCATAACACAATTACACATATCCAAGAAAATTTTCTAATTTTTCATCTCAAACACACTGTTAAGAGCATAACCCTCCAAACATTAGTCCACTATTAAGCCAAGAAAAAATGCTGCAGTTGAAAATGTGAACTGAATTTTCATGAAGAAAGTATTTTTCACTTATTCTTCAAGTGAGGTCACAAGCTTCTTGTCCAAATTTAACCATTACAGAAATTAGGTCACTTCCATTTCACATTATCATTTGACAGCAAAAAGCACAGGAAAGAAGGTATCTATAATGGTTGGTAACTCTTAGAAAATATTCAGTCCTAAAGTGATGTTTCCAGCAAATCTTCAGTTTGCCTGAAGTCCTCAACTGCTGATATAGTGAGAATAAAGACAGTTTCACTGTATCTTCACATAAACAAAATAAACATTTAAAAATAACATTCACATAGCAAACATTTTAAACTTTATAGGACAGATGTATTAATCACAGACTGTTAAAAACATCACAAAAATCAAACTGCTGGCTGCTTATCAAAAGACACTTTACAGCAGAATGAAAACTGTACCACATCTCCATAAAAATCAAAGCAAATTTCAATCCTTACGATTTGAAAGGCACTTCAAGATCAACAATTAAAACAGTGCACACATACTCAATAGCATGCATCACCAAAATTAGCATAAAAATCACTAGGCCTACCTAAACTGAACTCTAAAATCGGCTCATCTGGATCCTGAATGTTTCCTGTAAATCAGAAAAATTAAGACAAGATTAGCCCAAGCACTGCTGTCATGTGAATCCCTTCCTGAAATTGCAGTTATACAGAAAAAGAAATCAGATTTTATAGAAAAAAAAATTATTTTTAATTCACTGGGCCATGACTGGTATTTAAAATATTTATTAGCTAAACTTTGGTATCTAAAATTCATTTGAAAAACCTGAGATTATCTCATTTTATAACACATGCTAAAACATGTAAAACTATGCAAGATTATATGGAATATGGGAATATAAAATACATAATCTCAGTAGAAAACAACAGGATTAAAGCCACCTAATGTCTGAGCCACTATTAACTCCAAATTATTAAATCAAGATAAGTCTCCTCATCTGTGATCAGTAAATAGGGCGAAGTTTGAAAGTACCTGTCTCTCACTAATCAAATAAAGCCTCTGGGGTTTACAGTTGTAATTTACTCACTATGAAAGATGAGGGAGAGGATTCTCAGCTCCCCAAACTCTCTTGTAAATTTTATACAATGTCAAACAAGGAGGTTGTCAAGACTCTTCCTAGACCTTGACATTCTTTTGTTGTTTTCTCCTCCTGTTGCTTATTTCTGACTGATAAACATAACTGCACAAAATCTAGTTTAATTCCTATTTTTCCTTCCCTCTCCAATTTTAATGTTTTGTGTATTTTAAAAATGGTAAATTTAAATTTTTTTTAAATTTTTTAGTATAAGTCCTTTATCTCGTTCCCTCCAGCTAACCAGACACATCTAAATCTTCTAGCAATTGAAAGAAAAGAAACAATGTTAGTACAAGATAGATTCTGAAAGAAGCAACGGAGCAATAGCTGATATGAAGACACCTACCTGCTAGAGAAAGGCCGAGCATGTCAGAGGTGACATCGATGGTGGAAGCCCGTTGCACAGTGCGGGATTTTGCACCATGGCGGGGACTGTGTTCTCTTGCTGTCATTTTGTCATGAAGAACCCTTCTTGTCTTGCTGCTTGGCTTTACTGATGTTGTTTTACAGAGCAGCAGAGCGCAGCAGGTTGTCTCCAATTGCTATTCCTCTAACATCACCACACTAAGCAATAAAGAGAGCACAAACATACACCAAAATTTGAGGCCACTGTCAGCTACTGTTCTTTTTCGCAGCAGCAAACCTACTGCCATAAAATTGCCTCAGGTCGTTCAAATAAAATGCTCAAGGCAGATCCAGTGCACAGTAACTCCATTTGCATGAACTGAGCATCTGTAGCGTTTTACTGCAAACTGTTGAGGACTGTAGCACATGTAAGAAAGGCTCTTCTGTCAGAGAATGGGGGTTGAGAGAGACTTGTTAACAGACCAGCTGCTCTTCTCCTTTGTCTAAGTTATTAAACCGTCCTTAATGAAGTTTCCTGGTTTTCATAATCCCTGGGGAGCACAAGTAAATTCGTCAGATGGGGCCTCTGTCTGCAGAGGTAGGACGCGGGATAAGGACAAAGGGACAACGGGTTGGCAGAGAACGCAGAACAAAAGGGCAGGAAATGTTGTGAGTGTCAGCACACTGCGTCATTCTGGGCTCTGCTGCCATGAGAAAGGGATATTGAAACTATAAATATAACCTACTGGGCCAGAGTGTGGCTAAAATTCTGGGATGATGATGGAAAGAAAAAGCAGAAGGGGATGCTTGCTGATGCAACACACGGCAGTGTCTGTGCTTTTCCTTCACTCAACACTTTCCTGGCCTCCAGATCCATGACAGTTGCAGTTCCCCTCACAACGCCTATGAAGTGAATCGTTATGCTAGGAAAGAAGCACAAAGCCTACAGAAAATTTGGTTACGTTGTTATATGTGGTGCTTTTGGTTTGGCTGATAAATTTGGATGTTCCTTCTGTCAGCCACGTTAGCACTTCGATTATGGAACTTTTATATTTGTTTCATACAATTATGACAAACTCCATCCGTTTAGGAAGTGAGATTAGGAGCGAAATCTGATAAACCTGAAAGGTGGTAATACAGTGACTAATTCCTCTTGGAATTATGGGCAAGACGCATTGTAGTTAAATAAAACACCTAGCTTTTCCTTGTGTTTTAAGTAGGTATTTTAAAACTGCAGGCCTCCAAAGGAACATTCAACTTGCCTAAGCTAAGTCTCTAAATTTAATGAGTCAGCATCTCCCTCTGGAGGATTTCAAAAGAGTCTCCCTCTCTCCACAGAGAACTCAAGCATCTTCCTAACTAGCACTGGTTCACTGGACATCTAAAATTCAGATGCAAGTTAAGCATCAAAGACAACTGAATTGAACACAACCCTGGCCATCTACACGAGATTAGGAATGAGATTTTAAATGGGGAGAAAGGAATTTGGGCCATATACACCAGATGGGCCAGTCTATTGCCACTCAGAACTAATAATTTGCCTCAGTGATTCAACTCAGGTTTGCCAATTCCAACTAGGGAAAAAGTACATTCTTGAGTGAAAGAAGCAGAATTTGAGAACTCTGAACATCCCATCCCAAAAAGCTTTGAAACTCAGTGACAACATGCAAAACAACACTCTGCTTATAGATATCATTTATGACAGCCAAAAATTAAAGCAGACAGTTTTCCAATTCATACAGAATAACAGAATAGCTGAGGTTAGAAGGGATCTCTGGAGTTCATCTAATCCAAACCCCCTGCTCAAAAGCAGAGTCACCTAGAACAAACTGCTCAGGACTGTGTCCAGTTGGTTTTGTTCAAGTGGTTAAGTGGCTAGGGAACCGCTGGTCTTCCTCAAATAGTACTGAATGTCCTAAGATTTGCTTAAATAAAACTTCCATCAAAATTATTTGGCAGTTTTCAAGTCTTTCCATTCCACCAATTTTTTTCTCTTCTTTCAGCAATAGGTTTTCTTTGGTTTGCTCTTTATGTAATGTGACATTTAATGCTTTGTAAGTCCATTAAACGTAACTGCCTCATGAAAGAGAACACCTACAAAATGTGCTTGCAGAGATTTAGGTAGGATGTTATAGTCCCCCTCCCCAAAATTCTATAAATACCTTATTAGAGAATAACTAACATGTTCACACAGGTAAAGTTAGGTTAGAAGCCAGATGTTTTTCAGATAAAATCTCTGTAGTTGCTGACATCCTTAAAAAGGGCCAATCCTTGAGAAGTTAAAATAGGATCAGATATTTTCTTGGTTTTGAAACTATTTAAATATTACCGAGTGTAACAATTTTCCAAGGCTAAGTCCTCAACTATTCATTTAAATTACAATATTAATTTCTCACGTAATAATAAATTTTTAATTTACTTACGCTCATCATACTTACAGAGAGCACTGTTCTTCACGTGTGGAGGGATTTTGGATATCATAACATCAGTTAAGTCCACATCTAAAAAAATAATAAAATAATCAGCATAAATAATTGAAATAGTTATATATATATATTATTAATACAGCATAAATCACAACCAACAGGTAGGTGCCACTCTCAGAAAATACTGAAAATAGAAAAAGAGCATGATCCTCTGCTGGACCTCACCCAGCACAAGTCATAGCATTAGCATTAGCCAGTCAGAGCAGGAGCACAAAGAAATAAGCTTATGCTGAAAAGGACTGACTTCAGGTCAGCATTTGGTGAGTGGGTGGCATGGCTGTAAGAAACATATGTTAACATGTTTACCGAAAGGCTTGGTGCTATTAAGAAAAATGATAAAGTTGAGTATAAGACCGCATTTGTTACTATGGTTGCTTTTCTACAGTTAAACTTTCAAAATGTTGCTGTTTAGAAGAGTCGTAAGTGCCACTGTCAGAAGAAAAGATCCTGTGTCAAAACACAGAAGTTCAAAAGATCAGGATGCAGGGCTTGTTCTCCGCCGGATGAAATTACTATGCAAGGTAGGCTTCTATGAACAGATAGCAATAAGCAAATAAGGAAAAGTGAATTATTTATTATAACCTACTACAGGTTAACTGAAGTTTTGTATTTACTAGTGGTACCATCTCAGTCAAGTACATTTGCATTAATAGGATATGCTTTTTAAGACCTCTCATGTATGCCACACTACAATAAAAAGATGAGGAAGTCCAGTCTGAGCTTTTTGATTTAATCACCAGCATCATAATCATCATAAGCCTTTGCTTACGGACATTGATGTGATCTCTTACCGCTTATGGAAAGGGTTTTATCTCAGCTGAACTGCACAGGAAGCAGGTATCTGATCTCAACTCACTGCCCAGGTTCTCTACGCAGTCAATGGTGAAACACAAGCGCTTCCAGAGAATGAGTCACCATTTTGCAAAGTAGGTGGATGAATCACCTCATGAAGATACCTCTCTTTCTCTAATTCTAGAAACAATTTATACAACTAGGTTAGGCCTGATGCTGCAGCTGGGCAAACTGGATCCCTCCCACAATTGCACTAGTTCAGGCAGGGATGACTTCCCTCTCTTCACTGCACAGCCTGACAGACCCTAAGGACATGTGCTCTGGAGCACTCTGTTGAATTGCTGTGGAGTCTCCTTCTCTGGAGACATTCAAAACCCACCTGGACGTGTTCCTATGGGATCTTCTCTGGGTGATCCTGCTCTGGCAGGGGGGCTGGACTGGATGATCTTCAGAGGTCCCTTCCAACCCCTACCATTCTGTGATGCTGTGAATGTCAACTGTTTCAACTGTTACAATCTTATGATCATGTTTGTGATAGAAATCAATAGAAGCACGATTCCTGCCAAATTAAAGGTAGTGTTAACACACCAGATAGTTTCCTTAGATGGTACAAAAGACATAACACTCCTGGAACCAGCAATCCCAAAGGCTGATGTCCAGGCAAGCCCCATCTTGAAGACGGTAGGAACCACCTATGCACAGCCCTTGGCTTTGTCCCTGCTCATGCTGCAGACAGTGGATGCTGACAATATGTCCAGCTTTGCACTTCAAGAAGTTTTGCTGCAAGCCCAGCTTTCAACTGTGGCTTCAAAGGATGTGTGAAAAGCTGTTGTTGATCCTCCTCAAAACCAGTAATGGTCACTTCTGTTGTGCAGAAAAGCCTTCTGAACAAGCCTCCTTTCTGCTATGTTAATATTTGTTTGTAGCTCTATTAGCTCAAAAGCACCCGACCAGAAGAAAAGATCACCAGATACCACTTCCACACTGCCACCTTCAGTCCTGGCTGAAGAAAATGCCACTCTGTTCAGCTGCTTGGCTCTGCTCAGCTGCATGGCTCCCCCCATGCTGTAGGCATGGAACTTTCAGACTTTTCAGTCTGACTGCCTGCAAGATCTCAAGCAAAAAAAATTATCATCCATGGGCCCTAAAATAATCCCTTAACGATGAGCTTGTACAAGTTAATATTCTCCTTGTCTCTACAACTGTTTCGGCAGTTTCCTTCTTGAAAAAAAAAATCTTCTACCAAACTACCCCTTGAAACAAACATCTGTTAGGTGAGATCAAACCTTCTTTCACCCTAACATCTACTTTTTTGACACAGCTGTCAGAAACAGGATTTTTCCAGTTCACACACCAATAAACAGAAAGAGGCTACTCTAATTATAGACTAAATCAAAGTGTACTTTGAGACTGTACTTTTCTACAGCCATGGTGCTCTGGGCTGACGGCATTTGATCGGGTGAAGAGGAATGCCAAAGCAGAAAATGCAACAGCAGTGGAAGGCTAAATGTCACTGATACATCTACATGAAAAGAATAACAGAGAAAGGGGGAGTGTGACAGCTTCCTTAATGCTTTAAAAAATGGGGATGCAATCCTGCACAAGCACTTTGCTCTTCTGTTTCATTTAATGAATGTCCTGAACCTCACGCAGATCACAACAAGAGGAAAACTTAGAGCCATGAGCCTGACACTTAGAGTCAGATTCTGTCTCCTGGCCAAATTAACGGGGACAACAACATAGGCTACATCTGCTGCAGACCCATTGGCTGACAACAGTTTCACACCCCTTTACCCACCCCATGATCCAGGACATCCCACTTACCACGGCTCTTGGGAAGGCAAAAGCAAGCACGTGGCGCCAGCATCCAACATGGACCTTTGCCTCCCACTGAAATGACTTCCGCACCAAAAACATCCTCGGCAGCTGCTAGTCCATCAGCTCCACAGAGGGTGTATTTCCCCCTCTAGTCCCTGAGGTCTAGGTTCCCTTCACAAGCTGGTTCTGTGTCCCACTCTCCCACTGACCAGAATCTTGATTACCAAGGACAGAAACATAGGTTTGCCCTCAAGAGTCTTCTTGGCCCTCTCTGAAGCCCTCCTCAGGATTCTGAGCAAGTGGGGGACCACAGCAAGAATGGGGAAAACTCTTCTACAAGAAAATGAAATATAAAGTACTACAAGACACAAGGAATGTATTTGTGCAGTGTGGAAATCCCCAAGTGCAAACTTTCTGTGATATTCAGATAAAAGCCATTTCCGCAGCAGAAAGTTTTCTTTCTCTTTGCTTTCCCGTCCACCCTCCTCTACTTACAGATAAATCTGTAAGTCACAAACTTTCTTCTTGATCCTTCCCCACTAATGAACTTGAGTAAACTCAATCTAAAAACCTAAATTTATCTCTTAATATACTTGAGTACTTTTAATAGAAAACTGCAATTTAGGCCACTTACTTCTTTGTGCAAATTAAGACTATTTGTCTATATTCATGACTGAAATACAGTTACCATTCTTCTTAACTTACTGAGATACTGTTTTATTTTCACTTGCCAGCACAACACTTCTATTTCCTCAGTACTCCTTCTATGAGTACAACAATATGCACACCCGCAGGTGGAAGTGAGCATTTGTAACACACACATCTGCTAACTAAAAAGGAAAAGCACAGCTCTTTCACTTTGCAGAAGACCTTTTATTAAATTGAGCACGGAGCAATGCCATGGAAAATGATGAATCTTGCTACAGAACAGTTTGAAGCCCAACCCTCTAAGCATCCTCTGTAGTTTTACCAACAGAAACTGAAACAGTTTTCAAATGGTCTTTACTCTAAATTAATCTTTACTCTCTTCACAAGAAATGTGCTGGGTACATTGTGGTGAAGCTTCCTCATGACCCAGGGTTCTCACACCACACAGACATGGAAAAGTCCATGGGAACAGGGGGTGTATTTGTTGTCAAGGAGTTTGACTGGAAACACATTTCTGATTTGGATGGTTTTTTGGACACCCTCCTAACGCCTGCCTCTTCTACAGCTGTCTTTCTTCATAACCATGATGCCCACAATGCTAAAACAGCATTGAGCTAACTGCAAAAACCAAAGAGCTTAACCCCCTCTGAGCTCTTCCTGCTGCAGGAAACAGTGGGATAGGGGAGGAAAGGCAGAACCACACCTCCCACCCCAAAAGCCCCAGCAGTTTATACCTGAAGGGGAGGTGAACTACACACACCTGAACATTTACTAAAGGTTTCATATTGCTGTTCATTACAGACAGCAGTAAAATATCCTCCAACATATAGGCAATGACAGAAGGTGACCACAGAAGACACAGGGGGACAAAAGCACTGAAACCAGATCTGTAATCAGAAATTTTGGTCAAGCTTGGATTACAAGAACAAGTCTAGGGAGATATCTATCTGTTTATAATCCTCATCCACTTCACAGACTAACATAGCACTAATTAAAGCTTGTGTATTCTGGTCAAAACAACCCAGGAGTCACAGGGTAATGTCCTCTTGCTGTGATTCCTGTGCTTACTGTTTAAACATTATAAATTAAAAATATACAGCAGCAACAGAGGACAAACCAGAAATGTGTGAATTCTTTCTCTAACGTATTTGTTTTCAACAAGACAATAACTAATTGACTCAGGAAATGAAACATTGTCAAGTATTTAGAAAATTTAAAATAAATGCTAGTGTGGGAGAAATATTCCACAAAGGTTATTACCAGGACTTATGCAGCATAGCAAAACTGGAGACTTATGCTACTAAAACAAATCTGCTCATCCGTATTTCTCCATCAACATTTGTTTTGTACTCCTGAACTGTGTTTTGTGCACGTATTTCTGATCCACGCATCTTTTTTCCTTGCACAAAGCATGCCTAGACTATGCCTAATGGCCATGATGCTACAAGTCTTTTCAAATGAAATAATTCTTTCTTGGTTCCAGATGTCTGATTCCCTTGTGCTGCTTTCATTTCTTCTTCCTGGAAAATAAAATGTTTTGTTTGTTTACGCTGATCTTTCCAAATGAATGGGAGAGAGGGTTGTTTGGGCCAAGATGTTGACTGCAAGTCTCTTTCCTGGATTCCTTTTGGAGTCACGTAAACACGTGGTGGGATGCTGGCAGTTTGGAAGCACAAACATCCAGCTCCACACAGGCCAACAACAGTTTACACTTCCCACAGCTGTTCCCATTTCAGTGCCTC